AGATTGTCTTGGGGAGCTGAAGATCCTCTTGTGGGGCAAGGGCTCCCTTCGGCGGCTGAAAGCTGCAGGGGGCCTCTGGGAAACTCGTTGCGGCCTCTGTGTGGAGCTTCGTGGGGACTTCCGAAAAGATGATTCGAGCCTCTAAGGGGCTTCTCGCAGCCTCTCTGGAATTTCTTGTGGCTCGAAACGATGAGGGGGAGGAGGGGGGGGGGGGGGGGGGGGGGGGAGGAGGAGGAGTCATGCCGATGAGGATCAGGATGGTAGCCATGTGGGCTCAAGTCCGTAGCCGCTCTGGCTCAGACTGAGCATTGTGGCGTGGGGGAGGCGCGCCCCCGCCAGTGATCCTGCGGCTGCCAGCCACAGTTTGCGAGCTCCTGCGGGAGCAACTTCGGCACCGCGTTGAGAGTTCGGTCCATCGAGGTACCATGGCTCCTACTGCTACTGCCCCTTTGTCCGGCTTCTGGAAATGCACCCAGTGCGGCTGCGGAAAGAACACATGGCATTGGAGCTGGTGCAAGCGTTGCAGGAGTTCGTGGAGAGACACAGGCATGCTACTACTTAAGAAATGGCCAGACCCTCCGTCCTGGCCAAGTGGAGGAGGAGGCAATGGAGGAAGGGGCTGCAGGCCCTGCAGGCGGGTTCCCGCCGCAGGCTTCTCCATTCGCAGCCACTCCCCCGCCATCTATTTCCCCGTTAGAACTCGAGCAACCTGCCGTCCTTTTGTGAGAACGCAGGTGATGCAGCTCAGGCTGCAGTCTATCGCGGTTGCATTCCGAAGCCTGAGCCTGTCGTCGCACCAGCCCAGCAGCGCGCGACAACTGCTGATCGGACCGTCAAGGAGCTCGAGCAAAGTCTCAATAAGTACGTCGAGAAGTACACAAAGACTGAAGAGTCCTCGGCCCAGCAATCTTCTCATATCGGCGCCGTCTTACGCCAGATCGAGGCGCAAGAGGTTGTCTACAAGGCCGCGGTGCAGGAGTTGCATTTAGGAGTTGTGGCTACTGCGCCGACGGAGGGCAAGGACAAAGGACAGCCATTTGCCCATCGCTAGACTCCTGGACGGCCCCCTCAAGCTCTCCATTGACCCCGAGGACATGTTCGGCGTTGGGGAATACGTTGAGGATAAGCAGGAAGCGTAAAAGCGAGTGGGGGGCAATCCAAATGTCATTGCGTGAAGTTAAAGAATCCATGTTCGGTAAGATCAAGCAGCAAACTGACCAGTTGCGTGCTGAACATGAGGCCCAACAGACGCGCCTCCAAGCTAAACGTCGCTGCGCAGGAGGTGGAGGCACGGCCACGGCACATTTCGAGTCCCAGTCGCAGCCAGCAGCTTCCGCCCCGCCGCGGCCGACGCAATAACAGGAAGGCAGGGCTCAAGTCCGTAACTAAGCCAAGCCTATTGCAGCTAAAGTCAAGGCCAGCGGCGCAGTACCTCAGGGCACCAATCCGTTTCAGCCAGTTCCGAAGGCTGCGCCTCCATGGGGCTCCTGAGGCTCAGGGGCAACCCTGACTGGGAGACACAGCTACACACCAGAAGTTGGAGATCGCGGCCGCCAGCGACTACGAGTACCTCCACAAGTACATGTACATTGTCGAGCGGTGCACTCACTATGCCACTGGAGCAGGCACAGGGGCTTCGCGCCTCGGTTGCCCTCCCAGTAAGGATGCCGAGCCTCGTCGTGTTGGACTTCGCGTTATTACAATAAATGGCTCGGGTTGGACCACAGTGGGCACTCTGTTGGACCCCCTTCAGCCATGCTGATGCGCCATGTTCAAGAGCACAGGTTGTCTCGGACCCGCTATGCTCAAGTTGTTGAACAGTTACGCAAAGCAGGGTGGAACGCAGATGGGAGACCAGCGGTGCTGACAAACATGGGTCGCTACTTTGCCTGCGTGATGATCCCTGTGGAACAGTGCTTGGACACCTGGGCCCCTGACGAAGGCGACCTTGCTCGTGGTAGAGATGCGGGCTGTCATCTCAGGCTCAAGGATCTGGGGCAGCTCACCTTCATGACATGCGATCTTTGGGTTGGTGAAGGATTCACTCCAAGAAACATGAAGCTCATCCAGATCATCGGCCAGGAAGTGCAGACAGTATCACTCCTATCTATCATTGGTGGTGGTTTCAACAACAGCCCAGAGAAACTTAACGAAGCTGTTCATCTCCATAAGGTTGGTGGTCTAACTCGTGCCGATATGGAAACACCATCGTATCAGTTAGACAATCACACGTCGACGATCGACTTCTGCTGGATCCATCGAGACTTGGACACGCTCATCCCGAAGTATGAGGTTCTCACGGCATGCCTGTGTCCCCGCACTCGCCAGTTCAGCTGCGTGTCAGTGGTGTTGGAGAGGAGACAGCTGATGTGCTCCAAAGCTGCCAGGACGTACCAACGGAAAAGCTGATGGGGCTGACGCTGGAACCCCCAGGTTACGATGACCTGACGGCGCCAGTCGGCGCGTTCCTGGAACAGATCGGGGGCACGGGAGACAAGTTCACGCTCATGGGCACCACCAAGCAGCAGGCGGTGGAGATCATGAACCAGGCCCACGAGGCCTGCGATCGCCGCGCGTGGACTGAGCTCTGTGCTGCCACGGGCTGTGAAGGCCCAGGCCTCCCAGGAGGCACTCCGTTCCAATGGGAGTCTGTTCCTTTAAAGCAAGTGCTTCGCACATTCACGCGCCGCCGCTTGGACCCCCAAAGAGCGATGGCGTGGGTTGCGCAGAAGCTGCACGAAGTGAAGACCATGTTTTTGAAGGGGCACAGGATTGGAAGCCATGCTGACCTCACCAATCGTACGGTTCAGTTGCTTTGGTTAGAGGTCCGTGGGGGTCCGTTTCGTTTGGTTTGGACAGAAGGAGGCAGCGTTTGGCACCTTGTTATTTTCGCCCTTGCGCGTTCTGTTTAGGCCCCAAGTCCAGCCACTGAAGAACTTTTAGAGTCTGCACTAGAGCCCGCGCAGTTCATGCATGCCCATCTCTTGCCGTCTCACTCCGCTGTGCGCAGCAAGCTTTGGTCCGAATGGTGCCAGGAAGCCGTGGAAGAAGGAACTCGCCGTGCTCGCAGTTTTATCCGTGGGACTCCTGTGCCTGTCAAAGTGCGTGAGCCAGGTCCACCTGCCGAAGGGTTGGGCCGTGCCTCGCTCGTCACGCGGATGTCGGCCGAAAAACTCAAGTGGTCGGAAGCTCGGCAGGCTAAAAATCACCCGGCCCCAGCTGAGGTCTGGCCGCTGCCAGTGCCAGCCAACAAGGTTGTGGAAGCGACAACGCTTCGCAACATCAGTCGCCGTTTCAGCCGCAACACTTGTAAACCAGATGGGTGGCACCCGAAGCATTATCACCTGCTATCGGATGCTTCGCTAAACTTGCTCGCCAAGTTCTTCCACCTCATGGACCTCGCGAGTTCGGCTCCTGATTTAGTCCAGAGGCTTGTGGTGCTTTGCGCGTGTAAACCGAAGGGTGCAGAATACCCCTAGGTCATTATCCGTCGGCGTTTAGGTTGCACAGTAAATTGGGCAAGTACGAACTTTGGGACTGGGAGGCTCGGACGGGGGGTCAGGCGGTGTACGCTTGTGCCCAGAGTAGGAGTCCCACAGACACTGTTTGGCGCCAATCAGTGCTTGCTGAGTCCGCTCGGAACGGAAAAATGCACGACTTGGGCGTCCTGTGGGACCTCCTCCAGTTTGACGAGCATGTTCCGTACTCGCTCCTCTTCCAGAATGCTGCAGATAGTGATTGCCCTATTGCGAATCTGTTGCTTTCACTTTCTAGTTGTAAATGGCCGCGGTTTCGAATGCACGATGGCATCATGATGCCGTCAGTCTACCCTTGGAAGGGGGATCGTAGCTGGATCTACAACGGCTACGTACGAAGCTAAACTAGCGCTCAAGCCGACTGTTGAAGAGAATACGAAGTTTTTGCCTGATAATGCGATGGCCTCTCTTCGCATCGACGATTTAACCCACCGCGCGTGGGGCCCGTGCCTGATTCAGATCGCTAAGGATCTAGCCGCCCATTTAAATAATATCGGCCACAAGCTTGTTAAGGAGCTGGGCCTGCCCCTTGCTGGTCACAAACTGGCTATGGCTGCGTCTTCTAGCCAAGCTCTTAAGGTAGGCCAACAGCTGATAGGTAAGCTGTCTGGTGTTGGGGAGCACTCGGTGACGAACTTGGGGGGGTGACTTTGCTGGGGGCAAACGCCGAGCACACCCCAAGGCCCATCAGACTCGCGCTCAGCGCTGGCGCAAGTTTAACAGTAAGAGAAAGCGGCTCAGACAGTGTGAAGGCAAGTCAAGGATGAAGGCTCGTTCATGGCCACTAACGTTCCTCCCGCTGTCACCTACGGAGGTGATATCTGTGCGTTGAGCCCGTGCCAGGTCTCACGGCTTCGCCAGGCTGCGGCTTCTTCCAGTGGAGTCTCTATGAGGGGCGCCCACGCGGAGTTGTCTTGGGGTTTGTCCAAAGCTCGAGACCCACTGGAAGTAGCTGGCATGACTCTCAGAAGATATGCTTGCGAATGGTGGATGGCCACTGTTCCGCGACTTGATCTCTGCTGGCCAAAGGTGCGATGCCAGAAGCTAGGCCGTCTAACAAGGCTTAGTTTAAGCACAGCAGGGGTCCACTGTCAGATATGCTCATGTGGGCCCGCGAAGCTGGATGGACTTTCAAGAGTCCGTCTGTCGTCGTGGACTCCAAAGGGGTCAAGATCGAGCCCAATGTCATCTTTCCAACTTATATTGCCAAGCGTTTCGTTTCACAGTTGAAGGATTGCAGGGCCCAGCAACTCGTCAAAAGAACGGCTGGCAAACTCGGAGGCACTGAAGCGCAGACGATCAGTGCTCGTGGACTTTGGTGGGATGTTGCTGCCAAGTTTTTTCGGTCCAAGCAGGCGCGCCAGCTGCCAGATAGAGCATTGGTCTGTCTCAAGCTAGTTATGGGATGAGCCCTCCCAGCTGCAGACAACCTGCGGCGTTGGGGATATAGCCTCAGCCCAGACT